TATGTGTGTTTATGTATGTGCGAGTGCATCTATATGTATGTGTGTTTATGTATGTGCGAGTGCATCTATATGGGTATGCTGTGTGTCGTATGTATGTGCGAGTTGCATCTTATATGTATGTGTGTTATGGCACAATTAGCGTTCGCACGTGCACACATTACCCACGCACGCACATCTGACCAAGTCTCCTGAAGAAGTGTCTCGCCTTGAATAGTGTCTGTACAACTGTTCTCCCGGAAATTGCATGCAGTCTGAAGATGCAACCCACCAGTGCATTTTCTCCTCCTTCTCTCTCTCTCTCTCTCTCTCTCTCTCTCTCTCTCTCTCTCTCTCTCTGCTCTCTCTCTTCTCTCTCTCTGCTCTTCTCTGTCTGTCGTGGTCTCTCTCTCTCTCTCTCTCTCTCTCTCTCTCTCTCTCTCTTCTCTCCTCTTCTCTCTCTATCTATCTATCTATCGCATCTAATCTATCTCTATCTCTATCTCTCTCTCTCTTGCTCTCCTCTCTCTCTCTCTCTGCTCTCTCTCGTCCCCTCTCTCTCTCTCTCTCTCTCTCTTCTCTCTCTCTCTCTCTCTCTCTACTCTTCTTCCCTTCCCTCTCTCACTCCGGAACCCCTTACCCTCTCCCTCTTTTCCTCTCCCTTTCCCTTCCCTTCCCTCCCCTCCCACCTCTTTTCCTCCCTCCCGCCCTCCCTTCCTCTCCCTTTCCTCCCTCCCTCCCTCCCTTCCCTTCCCCTCCCTCCCTCCCCTCTTCCTGCCCTCCCATCCCTCCCCCTCCCCTCCCTTCCCCTCTCCCTCTCCCTCCCTCCCCTCTCCTCTCCCTCTCCTCTCCTCCCTCCTTCCCTCCCTCCCTCCCCTCTCTCTCGCAATCGTGAGGCTAATCCACTTCAAGCTTCAGCTCGACTTCGTGGCTTCAGATCGCCCTTGGTGTCGCCTCATTAACCTGCTTGTTTTCCATGGCAACGGGGCTGTTTGTTTGGGGTTTGTTGGCTGGCTGTTTTGCTTGGTTTGCTTGTTTGTTTGTTTGTTTTCTGTCTTCTGTCTCTGTTTCTCTCTCTCTCTCTCTCCTCTCTTCTCTCTCTCTCTCTCTCTCTCTTCTCTCTCTCTCTCTCTCTCTCTCTCTCTCTCTCTCTCTCTTCCCTCTCTCTTTTTCTTTCTTTTTTCTTGATGGATTGTATATCCTGGAGGGTAATAGATTACTGTTGTTTATGTTTCGTTTTTCCCTGATAGAAAGGGTTTGTGATATGTATGTATATATATTATGTGTGTGTATATATATATACTATATATATTATAATATATATTATATTATATATATTATTATTATATATATATTAATATATATATATATATATATATATATATATATATATGTGTGTGTGTGTGTGTGTGTGTGTGTGTGTGTGTGTGTGGTGTGTTGTGTGTGTGTGCTGTGTGTGTGTGTGTGTTGTGTGGTGTGGTGTGATTGTGTGTGTGTGTCCTCCGAAGGGCCTGGATCTGCCACAGGTGTCTCTCGCCGCCGACGCCCCTGACACGAAGGGCCAAAGACCGAAGGAAGGTGTGGAAATAACGCCCCTAATGACACTACATGTCGACGCGGCTGATCATTCCGGATAAACGAATTCTGGAAAGGACGAGAGACCGGAAGGGGCGGAGTCTGGGAGGTCCTGTCCGCTTAGCCTGGGAAGAAACGGATTATAGGAATAATTGTTTTTTTTATTTTTCTTCTTTTACTATAAAAGGCTAAACGTTTTAAAGGACCTTGATTGATTGATAATCTGTTATAGCGTTAATTTGATCTTAATTATCACGGTTTTCTTATACAATTTGGTATAAAAAGGTCATTTGATTTGAGATTGAAAGTGTTAAGGGACTTTATGATTGATTTATTATCTGTTATAACCTTCTTTGGGCGTCCGGTTGTGGCGTGGGAAGTAAGGGGGGGGTAGCGGATATTACTCACGGTGTAAATAGAAAGTAATTCACAAAAATATGCAAAATGATATCAAAAGTGGATGACAATTGGCGACGTCGTATGTGGAATGGTATGTGGATATCGCTCCTTGTAAGTGGAAGACAAAACAAAAAAGAAAAAAAAAATGAGAGAAATACACGTCTTACTATCATAGTTCTTTGAATTCTTGGGATAATCAGAGAATCGTGTGACGTGATACGCGACCTACATGCACCTTTCATTAAGATAAAGGAAAATTTACACCTCATCCATCATGACCGTGACGTGACGTGACATGACATGGCGTAGACCTTTCAGTCACTCGCGGAAACAGACTAAAGGTCACACTGGCACTTTTTCCGTTCATTTTTATTGACAATTTTCGGAAATTTTGTCCATTTTTGAGCGAATTGTCGATTCTCCAGTCAGACGATAATGGTCGTTTCCGCCTGAAAACCTTTCCGTCAACTTTTTCAGCCGAGCAAAGTCAAACCAAGAGCTATATTCGAGAATGTTTGAATTTATGTTAAATAAAATTGTCAAAAAATTGACGGAAAAAGTGCTAGTGTGACACGGCCTCAAGACCTCCTGTGAAATTTGACTTCCTGTAGACTGACCAGGACTCGTGTTTGCAAAACGTAAAGACTGCTCTGCAAGGTCAGAAGGCGGCGGTCGTTGCAAAGCTCCCGTTTGCCAGGGACTCGCTGGACATCACTCCAGCTGACCTTTGACCTCGGGCTAAGCGAGGTCACTCTGGTCGCCTCTCGTGATCTTTCCTTCTTTTTTGTGTCTCTTGTCTGTCTTTGTTTCCGTCTCTCCGCCGTTCTGTCTCTGTCTGTCTGTCTGTCGGTCTGTCTCTCTCTTTCTCTCTCTCTCCCTCCCTCTCCCTCTCTCTCTCTCTCCCTCTCTCCCTCTCTCCCTCTGTCTGACCCTCTCTCTCTCTCTCTCCTCTCTCTCTCTCTCTCTCTCTCTCTCTCTCTCTCTCTCTCTCTCTCTTCTCTCTCTCTCTCTCTCTCTCTTCCTCTCTCTCCCTCCCTCCTCCCTCCTCTGTCTGACCGTCTCTCCTCTCTCTCTCTCTCTTTCTATCTCTGTGGAGAGGAGGGGACGGGTAAAGTGAGGGGGGGGGGGGTGAGGGTGAAGTAGGGTGAAGACGGGGATGAGGGCGGGGGACGGGAGAGAGGGTGCCTAGGGGACAGGGGAGGGGGGGGAGCTGAAGCACCCTCACTCCTCCTCCCGATTCCGCAAGAGGGCTAACT